GAATGATATGGGTGTTTAAATTTTTTACTTGACTAACCCCACAAATATTTAGAAACTATTATATCCATTAGCATCCAATAAACTTCATTTTTAAGGGTAACGAGGGTGATTGTTTAAAATTATTTACATCCAAATAACAACAGTAGGACTTAAACCTTTATTTTTAAGTATAGATTTATAGTTTAAACTCTTCTTTATCACTTGAGTCAACTATAAGAAACTAATTTATTGTATTAAGATTGAAAAGAAAAACTGTAAAACAAAATGATTTTATTTTCTTCACTTTGCATTAATTATGTACTAATAAGTAGTTATTTCCACATCTCTATATGAGAATATTTTAGAATTAATGAGATATTTTTCAACATGATTAGCTAAGAAACAGTACAAAATTGACACCAAATAGCATTAGGTATGGAATATACGTGCAAAACGAACCAAACATATTATGTTGGATTACAAGCACATGGTTTGTCTGTTTAAGATCCTTATTCCTTTTGCTTATTACTTATTAACGTTTTCTTTTAGCATTTTATTTTCTCCTATAAAAAACCTTCTTCTTCTTCTTCTTCTTTTCATTTTTCCTTAGCGCGTGAATGTCGTAAACAGCTCTATAGGCCCGCACATGATTCAGGTACACCATCCATTAATTCCAAGTCTATTATTAGTTATATATCGTTCTCATTATTTATGTTTTAATATTAGGTCATAATTAGAAAATAAAGAAGAAATGAGATCAATCAAATCTTTTTTTAGCTTGATATAAAAGGAAAAATGAAAAGTGAACACTTCTCATAGCTATCTCGTTATATTATAAATAACTAGATTGAAAGATTAAATGAAAAGGTAAAGTTTTCTATTTAATAAAATCATTTTTTACCTTCAACCTTCAAGTGTTTTTTGATACATTAAAATTATACAATAGATATAAGGACCATGATTAGCTTACACTTCTCCGTACCACACTCTCATTATACACTCTTTTTTCCATTAACTTCCGTTAGTTTCCACATTCCGTTAGTTACCATTACACTCTCACCGTGCTAGTTCCCACCTTCTTCCCCTTTTTTT